AAAAAAAAAAAAAATCAACTGGATTGTCACTCCTGCTGAAAACATGATTTAATCAACAGATACTCTCTGAGAATGAACATGGTATTCCAGTGAGGAAGACATCAACCAGCACAGAGCCACACACAGTTACTCAGCTACAGATAAGGACCATAAAGAAGGTAGCAGAAGGAACTGGGGCATAGCTCATGGGTAGAACACTGGATTCCATCCCCAGCACTGCAAACAAAAAAATGTAAAAATAAAACAAAACTAAAGGGGCTGGGGATACAGCTCAGTTGGTAGAGTGCTTGCCTTGCATACACAGGCCCTAGGTTCAATCCCCAGCACCAAAAACAAAACAAAACAAAACAAAACAAAAAAAACAACAGTGCAACAAGAAAGTGACAGTAACAAGGTTGGGGATGTGCTCAAGGGGTAGGGGAACCAGAGAAGACCCACAGAGGACAGAATTAGCTCACTCATCACCATTCTAGCCTCTGTCTGGCATGCAGAGGTAGGAAGACTAAAGTTACCTTTCACCCAGGGTACATCCCACCAATAAGATATCCCTTCAAAAGATCTCAACTTGGAGCATTCAGTAGGGAAAGAAGGACACTGAGCACTGTTGTCCTGCCAGCCCTGACCCCAACAGAGGCCACACAAGCCAGAGGCCACACAAGCCAGAGGCCACACAAGCGAGCAGCTTTCTCTGCAGCAGAAATAGCAGCCACCGTGGTGGCCCAATGCTTTGTATGGCCTTGGGAGTTCTCCCCACAACTCCAGCCACCCCCAAGGCTGAGAAGATCATGCTTCTACACCCATCCTCCTCATGGCCCACCTTGGGCTCACAGGCTATTTCATCTGGATAAGGGCAGTAACAGCAGGATGCCCAGTGCAAAAAATGTGGGAAGGGGAATCTTACCTCATAGACTGGGGCATCTGGACCTTCAAACTGGAGACCTGGAGAACACAGGGAAAAGGACAAAAAGCACCATCTGAGAGGATGCCAAGGATCCCTGATGCTCTCCCCTAACTACACAGCCTTGAGAGACTCTAAGTGTCACCAGCTTTCCAGAGTGTTGGCTGACAAACCTCTTCTCTCCAAAGCTGTCAGATGGTGCCACAGTCTTTCAAAAACTCAAGTGGTTCTAAGGCCTCCAGGGCCCTTCCTCAGCTTTGGATGCTGGGAATTCACTCAGCTCCTTCCTGGTACTGAAGGGAAGGCAGCAATGGAGACATCCTTAGACAAGGGATCTGGATTTGTAAAATTCACAGAGATAGAAAGGAGAATGGGGATTGCCAGAGGCTGGGGAATGAGGAGTTCTTGTTAAATGGGTATACAGTACCAATTGTAGCTGGGTACGATGGTGCATGCCTGTAATCCCAGAGGCTCTGGAGCCTGAGAAAGGAGGATCCTGAGTTCAAAATCAGCGTCAGCAACTTATCAAGGCCCTAAACAACTCAGCAAAAATCTGACTCTAAATAGAATATCAAAAATGGGTTGAGAATGTGGCTTAGTGGTTGAGTGTCCCTAGGTTCAATCTCTAGTACCAAAAAAAAAAAAAAGTACCAATTGGAGGGCTGGAGGTGTGGCTCAGTGGTAGAGTGCTTACAGAGCATGTGCAAGGCCTTGAATTGCATCCCCAGCACTGTGGAAAATAAAAATAAAATAAAAAGTTTCATTTGGGAATTGTGAAGAAGTTCTAGAGATGTCTAGAGATGGGTGATGGTTGTACAATAGTGTGAATATACTCAATGCCGCTGAACTATATGCTTAAACATGGTCAAAATGAGGGTCAGGGTTGTAGCTCAGTGGTAGAGTGCTTGCCTGTCATGTGTGAGGCACTGGGTTCAATCCTCAGCATCATATAAAAAATAAATAAAATAAAGATATATTTTAAAAAGTTATCTTCTGGGGCTGGGGATATAGCTCAGTAGGTAGAGTGCTTGACTCACATGCACTAGGCCCTGGGTTCAATCCCCAGCACCAAAAAAAAAAAAAAAAAAAGGTTATCTTCTAAAAAAAATGGTCAAAATGATAGTTTGTGTTGTACATATTTTACCATAATAAAAAGTATCATCCAAAATAGAAAAGCGTTTTTAAATAGCTATTCAAAAGCTGGGGATGGTGGCACACACTTGAAATCCCATCTACTTGGGAGGTTAAGGCAGGAAGATCTGAAGTTCAAGTCCAGCCTGGGCAACTTGATGAGACCCTGACTCAAAATAAAATAAAAAGGGCTGGGGTTGCAACTCAGAGTTAAAGCACTTGTTCAGCATATGGGAGACCTTGGGTTCAATCCCCAGCACCAAAAAATAAAAAAATAAAAAAACAATAACAAACAAACAAAACAAAAAAACTATTCAAATCCATTATCAATTCACTCCAAATGTATTTACTTTAAAAATCTCTATTTTTATAATATGTTTAATTGTAATTCAGACACACCTTCTTTATGTGGCCTGAGTAAGCTTACTAGACTCTTACCATCTAGAGAATTGGCAATATAGATAGAGTTTATTTCAGGGCTGGGGTTGTATTTCAGCTGTAGAGCGTTTGAAAAGCAACAGGGCAGGAACAGAAATGAAGGGAGCCCGCTCACCTGGAGGAGGGGCTGAGGCTCCGCCCTGCTTCTCTCTTCCCTTTGTCCCATCCGGGAGGCTCAGCCCCAGCTCTGGTACTTGCCTCTGGCACTTACTCCTTGCTCCCTGTTTGACTTGTGATTTTAGGTAATTTGGCTCTTGCTCATTGATACAGGACCTAAAGAGGGCTCATCTGGCTCCAGGAGATATGCCCCATCCCAGCTGTCATTGCCACTCAGATATACTTGAAGAGTTCATGGTGGGGCTGTTTGCCTCAAGATCCCAGAGCAGAAGAGTCCATCAGCCCAGCCCACTGAATCCACCATCTCTGCACTGGGGGAAGACATGTGCACATGCAGGCTCATGCTTCTTGTCTCTTCTGGTAACACTGCACTTGGCTTTGAAAAGGGATGTGATGCTGAACTAGAGGGATGTGTAAAAATCTACCATGGAGGGAGTTCTAACCAGCAGAAATAAGCTTTTCAAAATGCCCTCCCTGGAGACCGGCTCATGTGTTGCCTTTGCCCTTCATGCTAAAATACTCCCAAGAGTCAACTTTGCCCTAAGATGCTTAGAGACACACAGCTGTCTGTCCTCTTCTGTATTTTCTTTGTTCCCCAGGAAGATCACAGCCACTAAGGGAGATTGCCAGTGGTGGAACCAGGGAGGTTAACATTAAATGACATCAAACCAAGCTTCTTGAGTTGTGCTATGTATACAGCTGGCACTCAATGAGTGACTCCTTTTTCTCCCTCCTTTTTCCCTAAGGAGAGTAAGAATAATGTCTGCAGCCTCTAGGATGCTGGTATACCTACCTGGGATGAGAATTGTGTGCAGGGGCATCACCTCTACTCCATGCACTGGGTACCCAAAGGGGATGTTGGGCTGGGCCAGCAGGGGTGGTGGGCGTGGCAGCCCTTCTCTGCAGGAGAATGCAAACATGAGCAGCTGCCCTGATGCTGGTCCTGTGGTTGGTCCTCAAAGTGGTCCCTGCACACACAGCTTTGCCCTTCCCATGTTGAGAAATCAAAAGTAGATTGTTCCTGTCACCCTCCCCCATATCTTTATTTTCACTCCTCACTTCAAGCTCTATTCCACAAAGGTACTGGGGCAGTATACAACAAAGCACATAAATATTAAAAATCATAACAAAAAAATGAAATTATCAGATGATGGGGGTCAACCCTCCTGCAGTAGCTCAAAACCAAGGTCATATCTGAACTTCCTGGTAGCCAGGTATAAAGTGATTGACAGTACACTGTCCTTATTATCAACAGGGAGATGCAGATCCATTCTGGAAGGGAAGGAATCTTTATCCAGTATTAAACTAAAAAATTAGCTATATCACAAGAAACTTGATTGTGAGTGGTTGTTATCTCAATATTTGTAGAGCAAACCCAGTAACTATTTTTATAGTTTGCTATAGTTGTTGATATCCTTCAGTCAATGGCAAAAGCATACCAATCCAGGAAGAATGAGTCTTTGAGGGACAAAACTGTGGTTAAAATGTAACTTTGAGGGATCCAGTTAACTAAGCATATCACTTAAATTACCTTGGGAAAAATTAGACCATTCCAATGAATATGCATGCAAATAAGAAAAGGATAAAATTTTTAAATGAAAAAGGGCATAAATAGGCAAATGACAATAAACAAGTGAAACATGCTTCACTACCATATCAATTAAGAAATGTGTATTTAAAAAATAATGAAGCTTGTAATCCCAGTGGCTCAGGAGACTGAGGCAGGAGGATCGCAGGTTCAAAGCCAGCCTCAGCAATTTAGCAAGGTCCTAAACAACTCAGTGAGACGCTGTCTCTAAATAAAATCCAAAAAAGGGTTAGGGATGTGGCTCAGTTGTTGAGTGCCCCTGAGTTCAATCCCCGGTACCCCCAAAAAAATAAATAAATAAATAAAAATAATGAAATACTTTTCAAATTGAAGTTTTAAAATGGTAAAAGCAGTGGCTGGGAAATGTGGCTCAAGCAGTAGCGCGCTCGCCTGGCACGTGTGCGCCCCGGGTTCGATTGTCAGCACCATATACAAACAAAGATGTTGTATCTGCCGAGAACTGAAAAATAAATATTAAAAAATTCTCTCTCTCTCTCTCTCTCTCTCTCTCTCTCTCTGTCTAGAAAAAAGGACTGAGGATGTGGTTCAGTGGTTAAGGGCCCCTGGGTTCAATCCTGGGTGCCAAAATAAATAAATAAAAAAAAATGAATACAGTGTAATGAGAAAATGGTAACAAATACTCAAAGCTCATCACTTCTTAAGTATTTTACTATTAACTCTGATCTTGAACCTCTTTCTGTACAGTGGAGATGTTTTAGAATTGTGACCTACTAGATGTCTCTTTGCAACTCCACATCCAGTAACGTCATACTGGTAACTTAAAATCAGCTATGGTATGGATATTTTTCCACCAGGGAACCTGGCAAACACTCCAAATCAGGGTGGCCTTGCTTGGAGGCCATTTAACAACACCCTCAATAAATAACACTCACACTCACGAATATCCTTTAGACTTTAAAAAGCACAAATGATGGTATACTGTACAATCTTCTTACATCTTGCTTTTTTTGACCTAATAGAGCTCTGTTCCCTACCAATGCATCTAGATTTACCAAATTCCTTTTACTACCTGAAACTTTTGTCCTCAGAATTGCTCCTCTGTGCTGGAAGTGAACCACACTTAAGAGTTCTGCCCAGAGTCCCACATTATTTAATAGCATCCTGTCTGCCAGGCCTGTGCTAAACTGGAGACACAGAAATACACGAAGCCCCTTTCCTGGAAGAATGGGAACCCAGACCCAGGCCCAGATGCCAATAATGAGAACACTAAGCCATCTTTTCAATAACAAAGAGAAAGCTGGGCTTTGACTGAAAACTTGTTCTCGAATATTCTTTTCTCAATTATCAGATATGGAATCCATTCTCCCTCCCAAGATCTTCCATGTCACTCCCTCTAACTACTATGATAACACTGAGCTTTGAGTTGAACTCTTGAGCTTCCACCCAACTTGTTAAATACATTCCATGGACCACTGACTGTTCACATTCACTCACAATTCAACACTGGGTTC